TTTTTCCGGTATGTGATTCTGAAAGATTTGTCTTAAACAATTTATATAAGTATCTGTTGTTGCATTTTTTGATGGGAAAGTCCAAATGTACCTAGTTGCATGATCAATAATAATGTGTAAATATTTTTTAACAGAGTTGTAATAATTTAAACCACCTACACTATCTATCGATAAAAGTTCAAAGGGTTTTTCACAAAGGGGAAGTGATTGCATCAGTCCGTATTTTCTCTGATGTGACTTCTTATTTATTTGACAAGTTTCACAGTGTTTCACATAATTTCGTATATCAGTAATAATGTTTATCCAATAATATTGTGGTGATATTAATTTTAACATGGTAGCTACACCAGGGTGGCCAATTTTTTATGAGTTGTTTCCATTAATTTCACTCTTAGAGCTTTGGGTACAATTATTTTAGTTAAACCTTGTCTTTTAACTACAAAAACACCATCTCTCTTAAAAGATTTAAGAGCTGATGTATTTTCTATATTTTGAAAATGACTTATTTCATTGATATCTAATAAAGGTTCTGGGGTGTATTAATTGAATGATAAGCAATAGGATTTCTTGTAAACATATCAGCTTCAACATTAGTGCTACCTTTCTTATATTTTATATCAAAATCATACATAGAAACTTTTAAAGACCATCTAAAAAAGTCTACCCGTGGGATTTTTGAAATTTTTAAGCCAAACTAATGCATTATGATCGGTATGAACTGTGAAATGAGATCCATGAAGATAGCAATGGAATTTATCTAAACTATCAATTATAGCTAAGCATTCTAATTCAGTTATTGTATAATTAATTTCATAATTTCTCAGTCGTCTCGAGTGGAATGCAATCGGATGTTGATTTCCATTGGGTTTTTGTTGTTTGAGGATACATGAGATTGCAGTTTTCGATGCATCTACATAAAGATGACAGGGATAATTTGGATTGAATATAGCTAAAATGGGCTTTGAAATTAAGCTGTCTTTAAGTTTTTGAAAAGATTGTTGACATTCTGGGGTCCAATTCCAATTTTGATTCTTTTAAGAAGATTATTTAAGGGCATTCTTAATTTTGCATATTGAGGAATGAATTTATAATAGACATTAATACTACCAAGAAATCTTTGTAAATCCTTTACATTTCTAGGGGTAAAAGTTTTTTAATTATTTCGACATTTGTATTATTTGGAGTGTATGACCCTTGTTTTATTTCATATCCTAAGAAATCAATTGTATCTTTGCCAAATTTACACTTTGAGAATTTTAATTTAATATTTTCTATTCCACAAATTTTAAAAATTTCCTCTAAATGTTTTGCATGTTCTTCAATTGATTCCGAAAATACTATTATATCGTCAAAATAATTTAATGCAAATTTTATTTGGTATTTATTTAAAATCTGTCTAATAGCTCTTTGAAATATAGCTGGAGAATTTTTATATCCAAAAGGCAAACGATTAAATTGAAAAAGACCGTAATTTGATGTAAATGCAAGTTTTTCAGATTCATTATCATCTAATTTAATGTGCCAATAACCACTACATAGGTCGATGGTTGAGAAAAATTTTGCATGTGTTAATTTGTCTAAAACTGCATCTATTCGGGGAATTGGTTCTGCATCTAATTTTGTGATAGCATTTAGCTTTCTGTAATCGATACATAATTGTGTACGAGCATTACCCTCTTTTTTAAAAGCCAATGTTATAGGGGCAGCGTAAGAACTATAAGATGGTTTTATTATTCCTGCTTTCAATAATGCATCTAATTGTTTTTTTTTATTTCCGTATCATCTTTAAAAGATGTCCTATATGGTCGATTTACAATGGGTAATTCTGAGGTAAGTATTATTTTAGAGAATTACATTTTAACTCGCCCACATCAAACTTATTTTTAGCAAAGACATGTTTATATTTATCAATAATCATATTAATAATATCATAATCACTATTAGGAAATATTTCTATATTAAACACATTATCAGTTTTCTTAGTGATAATTTTATTATTACTAAATTTAAGAGTTTCATTTTCTTTAATATTTTTAAAGATTCATAATTTTTAAAAATTTTTTTCCTCTCTGAAACATTTTATAATCACTAAAATTAATATTTAATTCAAAAATACTCATAGTTTTATTAGAAATTATTAAATATTTCAGTTCTACATTTACTATGAGGAATTTAATATTTTCAATAATTTCTCCTATTTTCAATTGTAAAGTAATTGCCTCACTCACCTCAATTTCTCCATTGATGGTGGCAATTTTTGTTTTGATGTACTCTACATTGTGGTATCCCTTGATTTGTGATATTATATTTTTTGGAATAATATTGACACTCTCTTGATCCTGTATCCAAGAGGACATCAACTTGTTTGAAGTTGATTCTTCCTTGGATGATCATAAGTTCTCCTGTTTGATGAGGTTGGAATACCGTATTATTGTTTTGTGTTCTTTGACGGGGGTTGAAAGTTGGAGCATTGGGTCGCAAAACTGTCGGTCTTTGTGGAAATCGTTGGTTTCTTGGATATAGGGTCGGCCGCTGATGAGAAAAGGACGGGTGATGATAAGAAGGTGATATAAATTGAGGAGAGTATACATTGTATCTTGAACCGGTTATGGCATCCGGATGTTGAGATTGATCATTTCTCCAATTCCATCCTCCATACTGTTGTCTACGGACAAATTGATTCGTATGGTGAGGTATTCTTGTCACTGGATACTTTGGATATATAATTTCATTCCCATTTGATTTTGATTTTTCTTGGATATCTAAAAGTTTCATTTTTTCCTTCAGCTTCTCTATGTTGTGCAGCTTCGTAACTGTAGCTCTATGGCTCTATTTTCTTTTAATCCTCTTATGATGTAATATTTTTCAGCTTCTTCCATGTTTATCCGGGATGCGATTTCTTTTACTCTGTAGAAATATTCTATGTGGGTCTCTTTTGAGGTTTTTTCTGTTTTAGATAATTGAAGATGAATCTCCGCTGGATTGACTTGTGTTCCGAATTCACGTATTAAATTATTTTTCAGTTCGTAAAAACTTTTAGGGATAGATTGTGATTGATGTAAGTCTTCACAGCTCCATCTACTAACTTGATTATAAATAGGATTTTCTGTTTCTCTGGTATATCGAAGGAATCGCACGTACTTTCAAAATTTCTAATGAACGTTTGGATGGGTATTTCCAGGTTATATTTTTGGAAAAAGTCTGTAGATCTTCAAATCGAATATCATTTTTAATAATGATTATAGGTTGCTTTAACTTTTCTTCATCAGCATCTAAATTCTTCTTGCTTAATTTTATTTTCGTTCTTTGCTTCCATTTTTGAAGTATGATTTTCTGAAATCTTGTTAGGAGAAGAGGATGATTCTATTTCTTTGGCGGTAAAAGCGATGTTCTTTCGGGGATTCTTAGCGCGTTTCTTTTTCCGTACCATAGATTAATTCTGGTAACCCAACGTCCCCAGCTAACAAATGTAGAGTGCCGTCGAAGTTCCATAAAATTCTCCATATCAGTTATTACGTTCGTTGGCTTTAGTTTTTATATTAAAATTATTTTATAAAAAAGATTAGTTTTTTACGTTAAAATTTGAAAGTTAATGGCAAATAAGATCCTGTCGACTTTAATTCTGTCATGATATTAAAGACAGAATCAGATTAAAGTTTAAAAAGAAAGGTGTTTATTCGATCGTGTCTACATCAGTTCTCTCGCTGAAGGCAGAGAGGAAAAAGCACGCCATGGTGGGGGTTCCACGTGAATAACACGTGAAAAACATCTGGTGAGTGTCGCTGCTTTGAAGATGGTGTTTGCAAGTTAATGCTGACATATGTTGACTATTAAATCTAACGACCTAGAATTAGACATATTTATTGGCTAGGCCATATGTTCGGAAGAAATAAATGGGCGATTAGTTTGATACTTGAATATGAGAACGTAGAGAGATGGAGTCAAGTGCTAGATAGGGAATTTAATTTTTAATCTAATTTAATTATCCTTACATTTATATATATATATATATATATATATATATATATATATATATATATATATGTATAGCGAGGGAGTGAACTTATTATAGGAATAAAAAAAAGAGGAGTTAAGTCATTGAAATGGAAAATAAAATAAAATGTATCGTTGAAGAAAGTTAAAATCACTTACTGGAAGAATAATTTTCCTGATTCTTTAATAATTCTTAACATCAAGCGCGGAAAGTTTTGCTGCATTGACGGTGTATGCAATGTTGAATACATTCAAAGTTACAAATTGAGTTTAACGAAATATACTTTGAGTGTAAAAATGTAATCTCTTGACATTTCTCACAATATAAGTATTGCTGTTTTTATATGATAAACACAAGATTGTATGCTATGTTATGTTATGTTATGCTATGATTATGTTATGCTAGTAGCATCCAGATTAATTTCTGACCTTACTTATTATATAATATTACTGGATGGAAAAAAACACATATCAGAACCACTTTTATTAATTAAATAATATTTCCTATGTTGAAATATTATTTTTTAAAAGTAACAACAAGTCTTAAAATGAAAGTTTAAAAAAACGTGGCAGCAATTTACGAGATTCCAAGCGAGAAGCATGCTTTGCTTCATAAGAACATTTTGATTGAATTTGCTTAACTTTGTACACAAAATTAAAATCAAATATGTTCTTATAAGGAATTTTTTTTGTTCAATTCTTACTATTATTTCACATTCTACCTATGTTTATATATATATATATATATATATATATATATATATATATATATATATATATATATATATATATATATATCTTGTTCAAATTTTGCAATCGTTAATAAAATACTTTTTATCCAACCACTCAAGTTCAAATACATTTTTTTAAACTTGTAGTGGTGGACACTTGATGTTAATACAGTTTTTATAAATATTGATTCATCAGTTAAACTGAATTTTTGAATAAATAGTAACAAAAGAAATAGTAGTCCAACACCATATATAAAAAGGAAAATCGCTCGTTGTGTCCCTGTAGCGCTTATGGATAGCGCGTTGGATATTTAATCCAAAAGTCGTGTGTTCGAGTCCACCTGGGATGGCCTAATTTCTGAGAATGTGATTTCTTTTTACTATACTATTTTATTGGAATAATTAAATTTAATAATGAATCAATAGTAACAAACAAAAAATTAGGCTAGCACCCTATGTAGAAAAGAAAATGGAAAATCGCATTCTATTTTACCAATTAATATTGTGATCATGTCATATGTATATACATATTTATATTAATTGTAATTATTTAAAAAAAGTAACTAAAAATTTTTTTGTTGACTTAATTTTTTTATATTACTTGCAAATAAGAATTTTTCAAAACTTCTCAGTTGCAACTTGCAACAATACTTGCTAACAAGAAACAAAATAGCTCAAAAAATATTTCAGGACGCATAAAAATTTTTGCCTCAAAATGACATCACTAAATTTTTTTTTAATATTAATCCTGTCTGCTGTCAAGAGAGGACAAAAAATTACTTTCTCCTACACTCCTAGTGGTTTGTGTAATTCTTGGCTTAGACTCAAAACGGGCGTATGTTAAACTTCTGCCTTCATGTCGGATCTTCATTTTTTCTCACGTTTTTTTTTTTTAGCACAATATAGTTTTTCTCCCTTTAAAGCTTATTTTTGAAAACAAAATTTCGTTTGTATCAAGGTAGGTGTTACAAATTTTTTCTTTTTATAAAAAAGAGAGTGCTTGTACGTTATTTTTGTAACTGAAATAAGATGGATTTGATCCTTTTGGGTTTTGAAAAATTTCTTTCTTCTAATGAAATGACTTTTATTACGACTTTTCTTTTCGATGGTGAGGAAAATATTCCCGCTGGAGTTATCATAATTTGTTGATTTTCTGGCAATAAAATTTTAACAAATTCTGAGCAATCGAAGACCGTATAATCATTGGAAGTTTCTATTAAGCGCACCATTAAATAAATATAATTATTATTAAAATATGATTTTGATGGCATTGTTTCTTTGTAGAATAATAGCTAATGTAAATATTTCTATATTTTAATTTTTCAAATAATTTATTCTTATAATAAAAGGAATAAAACAAATACATTTTTATCATAGTAGGGCAGTTCTTCTCAAACTTTCAATACTGGGCAATTTCAAGGCAATTTTCGATCATAAATTTCATTGCACCCTCACCATACAATGCCAATGTATTGAATTAAATAAAAAGGTACTTTGATGGTAAAAAAAACTACAGTATAACTTTACTTATAAATCGTAGAAATTATCAATATAAGTACTAAATTTTGTATATGGCAAGCCAATGGGAAGCACTAGCAATTATTAAATTTGTTTTTAATTTAGTATTGATAAATTAGCTATCAAAAATATTGCACTGTACTGATACATTCATAAGCACATTATATATCAGTGTAAATGTGTGTTTAATTTTTATTATATCAGAATGTATTTTGTTTTGCTTTCTTTCACTCAGTCAATATTTATTTTAATTAATATTTATTTTAAATTTTTATTTTCGATTCTTCAATATGCTTTTGTCCTCCACTTAGGGATACCACGCCCCCCAGGAGGGGACATCCCACAGTTAGGGAAACGCTGCAGTGTGCCAGGAATTTAATTTTTAGTGCAGAAAGTGTTTTATTCCTGTACTACAGTATAATGAAGAAACTGTGAAATAAGTGGATACGGTACAAAATGGTCTTATTACAGAATTCGGAAACCATCTCGTATTTCAAAAGACAAAAACGAGTAACTAGTTGATCAAGCTCTTTTCCAAACTCATTCATTATTGATAGTCCAATCATAGAGTGAGAGACAATTTGGTGTTGAATTATCAGTTTTAAAAATATATATGTTTTTATATTTAATAATAACAATTTAAATGATATTCATGATTTAAGTCCTAATCGTCCGTTAAAATTATTTTCATTTTAACAACAACAATAGTCTTAATAATACTAATTTAATCAAAAGGATCATTGAAAAGCTTGCATTTTTATTATTTTCATCAATCTTAGCGTTTGTATTAAATATCTCTACAAAATTTAGAAATTTAATAAAAGAAATTAAAATCCACACACTTTCAAAAATAAAATTTTTTAAAAACTAAACACAATATACCTGAAATATCTCCTCTACAATACTTTATGAAATATTATTTTTTTCAAAAGCATCATATATATATATATATATATATATATATATATATATATATATATATATATATATATATATATATATATATATATATATGCCATGATTTTTAAGACAGAATCAGATTAAAGTTAGAAAAGTGAAAAGACGACCTTTATTCTTTCATTTGTACATCTGTTCTGAAACCGAGAGCAGGGAGGAAAAACACGCCATGGTGGTGGTTTCAAGTGGATAACACTTGAAAAACATATGGTAAGTATCGCTGCTTTGAAGAGGGTGCTTGCACGTTAATGCTGACATATGTTGACTATTAAATCTAACGATCTGGAATTAGACATGTTTATTGGCTAGGCCATATGTTCTGAAGAAATAAATGGGTGATTAGTTTGATACTTGAAGATGGGAACTGAGAATGATGAGTCAAGTTTTAGATAGGGAATTTAGTTTTTAATCTAATTTAATTATCCTTACATTTGCCCCCCAATTTTAAAAGGGAGTCATGGCGTGGTTTTTTTCTCTCTTTACAAACTTAATCAATTTTCAATAAACACAAAGCAATACATAAAATTATTTAGAAAGACATATTAAACACAGTAGAAATATTTAAGCAATAGTAATACTAAAATCAAAAAGCAATACAATAAACGAAACTATAACAACAAACACAGTAAGGACACTTCCAACATATTAATTCATAAAAATGAATTTTCATACATATAAATGAAGATTAGCTTGTTCAAATATATTCGACATCTAGAATAAGAGCTCGCGTTTCCTCCTATTCCTCCATAATAATAGATTCGTATTATAGCTGGTAAATATTTTCAAAAAAATTATGATGGAAAATAATATATCAAACAATAAGATAGATAGTAAATATAAAAATACATGAAATCATACAAATGTTATGTATAAAAAATCTACTCTGGCACCATCGTAGTAATATCTTATATTGTTACACACATTTTGCATATATGAAATACATTTTTTAAAAGATAAAAAAATATAGACACTAATAAAATGAAATTATTAATAATATGAAAACGGTGTATAACACACAACTTCTATGCACTATCCAACACAATAAACAATGTTTTATTTCATATGCGCGTTTTTTTATAACATATAAAAATTATAAGAATATAAGAATATAAGAGCTCTTTTTCATTATTTTGAGTTGAAAAAGTGGACTCTTTTCAATAATAACTTTTAGTATTTCTGAAAGTTTTTTACAATATTCATTGTAACTTAATATCGCAGCAATATTTTGAATCTTTCCGTAACCTTCTAAAAATACGTTTCATAGACAAAAATTCTTGAGTTTCTCTTGCATCACACATTCACTAATAAAACTGTATCACCTTACTTAATTTTGAACACGTCTCTCTGAGAAATCTGCGTCATCAACTCACAGATGTTCAGGGATGCTGATAAGAAACAATGAGAGGTGTACATTTCAAACTAAACAAGTTTGTCCTCTTAATGTTTCGAGACATACAAAATTATAATGATTGTATTCTCCCTTATCCACTGTATAATATCCAAAATTAGGCTTCAAGTTATTAAGTTAATTTTAATTTTAGATAAGGAAAATTTTAAGAAATAGTGAGTCCTGATATATGGCCGGTATATCAAAACACGCAATTTCAAAATGAAAAAAAAATTTAATGACATGTAATAAGATTACTGCTGAATAAAATAATTAACAAAACAATTAAATTTAGTGGAGAAAAGAGAATGCAACGTGACTTTACTTGTGCTTCTTATCAAAATATCATTAGTATTAGTACATTAATCATGTTTCTAAAACCCTAATTTATATTTTTCAACTTTAAAACACCAATTTCTATCATAACTAGTAACTCATTCGACATCTTAAGATAAAATTATGAGAAGTATATTAAAATTTCTCAAAATTTTGTATGACCAAACCTATATACTTTGTTTTCCCAATTAAAATATAAAGAAAATATCTCATTTAACACAACTATATGATAAAAATTAAATATATCATATCACATATTATTCTTTTTCGCAAAGTTCTGTTCAACAAAACTCAGTTTCTTCAATGTTACTACAATTGGAAATATATAATCTAACTGACCTCCACTTTGCAGCGGCAGAAACCCTTGGTGAACGGTAATCCAGAGGTTGTTGTCACTTTATTTTCACCAGTAAAATTTTATTTATTTCGATATTGGTATTTCACTATGGCATGCGATTTTGGTCAATTCACTGTATTACCATGCAGATTTTTCGGCGAAGAAGATTTGTTCCTTTTATTTTTCTTTCAATATTGGTCCTTCCATCATTGTATCACTGGAACTAAATCACAATACCATTCGGAGAAAAACATATTTTTTATCTATTCTGGCGGAAGGGATTGACATCTTTCATCGTGGAGTTTAGGGGATTCACGCTTTCCCCATTTTTTTCTTTTTCTCTCCATTAGAATGTTTCTTCCATTCTCGGTAAACTGGATGGCCTCTTCAGCAAAAACAGAATATCGTTCGGCTGTAAACACTGCATTCTTCTCGGTGTTAAGAGCGATGTTCTTTCGGGGATCTCTCTCTAACTAGCGCGTTTTTTTGTACCATTTCTTATTCCGGAAATCCGTCGTCTTCAGCATTTTGGCATATGGTGCATTTGGTGTTTCGTCAAATTCTCCATATCAATTATTATGGTCGCTGACTTTAGTTTTTATATTAAAATTATTTTATAAAAAAGATTAGTTTTTTACGTTAATATTTGAAAGTTAATGGCACATAAGATCCTACCGGCTTTAATTCTGTCATGATTTTTAAGACAGAATCAGATTATAGTTAGAAAAGTGAAAAGACGACCTTTATTCTTTCATTTGTACATCTGTTCTGACACCGAGAGCAGGGAGGAAAAAACACGCCATGGTGGTGGTTT